TTGAGTGGGGGTCCTCGCTGTTGCTTTAGTCAGCAAGTCCGGCCCCCACACATGGGGTCGGGAGGACACCCCCGGCTCCGCCATCTGTCCAGGAGGCTCTGCTCTCAGACCCTGACCCGGACCCGCACCCTCCCTGGCTGAGGACCTCCAGGCTGGGCAGGAGGGGCCGAGAGCGTGGCTGCCGCGCCCTGCGAGGCTCTCGAATCCGCCCTACGTCACTCATCCCAGACGCTGGCAGCTCCGCCACACACTCCGGGGGAAGCAAGTAAAAATAAAGCCACAAGCCCTGACCGCTTTGGCTCAGTGGGTAGAGCGTCGGCCTGCGGACTGAAGGGTCCCAGGTTTGATTCCGGCCAAGGGCATGTGCCTTGGTTGCGGGCACATCCCCAGTAGGAGGTGTACAGGAGGCAGCTGATTGATGTTTCTCATCGATGTTTCTAACTATCCCTCTCCCTTTCTCTCTGTAAAAAATCCATGAAAATATATTTCTTAAAAATGGAAACAATGAACACTCAGAAACAAGGGGAAGGGGCAGAATCTGTAGAGGCAGATCTTATATACAGAAAGTAAGGTTAAGGAATTGAATGAATAGGGGGAGGTCCTTGATTCAGTATAGACGAGGTAGAAAGAGAATGAGTGGAAAAGAAGAGAAAAAAATTTACATGCCTCAAGTCCACACGCAAGAAGCGGGGCCAACGTGCAGGCAGCCCAGGCCTCCCCGGTGTCTGGGCCCAGGGCTTGTCTGGCCCACCCATCCCCGAGGTCCAGCAGCACTCCCACTTTGGCCTCAGGCGGGCGCAGGCCAGGACCCGCCTGGATCACTGCCCCCGCCCCCCGCCCCCTTTATGGCACAGGACTGAGCAGGGCTGGGGCTGTGTCCTCCCGTCCTCAGCGAGCAGCGGGGACCCGGTCACCAGAAAGGGCGGGAGGGGGGCTTGCTGACGCCTTTGTGTTCACACTGGCTCTGGTGGCCTTTCCCTGGATGTCTTCCGGGAGCATCTGTGCCAATAAAGGCGACGTCGGTCTGCGCGCCTCCCGCATGGGCCAGGCCTCCCAGGGCTGTGCACACGCTTTCCTACACGGGACCTGCAGTGCTGGGCTCAGTACCACCCACCACACGGCTGAGGGGTCAGAAGTGTGGGGCACCGACACCAGCTCTAAGCAGGAATCGGAGCTGGGACTCAACCGCATCTAGGGACCAACCAGCGGTCCCCACTGCGGGACAGATGGGTCACGTGGGAGGCCTGCGGGGCAGGTCTGCACCCAGAGCCGTCGGAATTTCTGGGGCTGCACGGGCACCCCAACGCTGTGAAGGCGGCTGCGCCGTGCGCCCGGCTGAGACCACCCCTCAGCCTGGGGTCCGTGCCACCAGAGGCAAGACCGTGCCCGTGACCCTTGGTGGATGTAGGAGGGGCCCCGGGAGCCTGGGCGAAGGCGCATAGTGTGGCGGGCGGTGGGGCCTGCGTTTGCGGAGCACTGTGAGCCGTTAGCCGGTGGTTCGTTCATAGTCACATCGGTCATTACCTCCCCGCCGACGTGCAGGACTGCAGCCTCTGTGCCCCAGAGAACCTAGGCGTCGTGCTGTCACCTGAGGGCAGAGGAGGTCAGTCAGTCCAACAGATCAGGCGGCCAGGCCCTGGCTGGGCTCCTCGCTGCCCGGGCCGCATTCCCAAGGTGCCGGGGGTGGCGTGGGAAGATGCTCAGACAAGGCCCCGGGGGACCCGCCCCCAGGCAGGGCTTCAGGCCCAGCGCTGGTGCCGAAGAGGGGCCCTGCCACCCGCCTCGGCCTGGCCGCCACCGCAGGCCGGAGGGGCTGGGAACGAGA